GGCGTCGCCGCAGCCATCGATCATGTCACCGATTCACAATTCCAGCTGGCACGACGAGATTCCGATCAAGAACCCGCTCGTCAAGCATGCCGCGCTGGCGTACCTCCAGCCGATGTCCTCGCCGCCAGAGGTCGGCGATAAGGGATTATTCCGGATGATCCGGGAGAAGTGCAACTGTGAGTTCGGGTGCCTCGGTTGGTTCGGCGACGTCGTTTTGAAGACAGTTAGGGACGTGTTTGGTGGCGTTTGTGGTTGTACGAATAGTTTTGGCGAGATTGGGGATGAGGAAGACGAGGAGGGGGAGGAGGAGGAGGAGGAGTGTTTGAAGGTTGACTGAGAGTGAAGGAGAGGGGTATTTTTGGAAAGTTAGGGGTTGACTGGTAGATGATGGTAAAGAGAGAATTGAGTGAGGCCTTCTTTTTGTATATACCATTTATTTAATTTTTTTTCTTTGTTGGTAATTGAGTTTTGGTGGGTGGCTTTGTAAATAGGTATACATCGTGTTCGATTTATTAATCACCGAACGCATGATTCGTGGGAGAGAATTTGATTTTTTTCTTCTTCAAGAAAATGTTATTGAGATTTATTTTCTTGGTGCTGTATATATTTTTTGGTCAAATGTAATATATGGATCTCTCAGTTAAGATTTTGTGGAATTCTTTGCTTCTAGATCGATTAGTGACCAAGTTTTCTGCTTTGTTTTTTAAACATTTTGATTATGACTTTCTACTTATTTTATGGTGTATAAATATAATTGCCGTGAGTAAAGTTTCGTGTTGAGTACTTAGTAGCTTTAGCTATGGAGTTTTTGGAGATGGATCTGCGATATCAAACGAAAAAGAACACTAAGTATGAATGTTTTCGACTTTGAAGACTAAATTTGTAATCTAAACCCTACAGTATTTTGGTGATAATGTTATTAACCGAAGTAAGATGATGATTCCATTGCATAGTGACAGCACCGATTTGTCTTTGTATATCTAAATACAAACCCAAAAGAAGTGCATATTCACATTTTTAGAGGTTTAATAACAAATCTCATAAATTACAAATATTATTTTTTTTTAACTTTTTCTCGGGCAAATATTCAAACTTATTAAATTAAACAAATATTCATCAAACTTATTAAATTAAGCAAGTATTCAACCTTCCATGACTATTTTAAGAACATAGAACCACATTCATTACTAACTATACATGAACGTTCACACATAATTAAAAGATTTTATTGCCACCCACAAAACTCACCAGTATTTTTATAACATTTTTCTTACAAGAAAAAATGCTTGGCAGTTCACAAAATGCTTCAAAAATGATAGAGACTCAAAAGAACAACTAATCAAAGTAAGATGCGGACTTAATCTTCCTTACTCCTCTAGAAGAAAATATAATAAAAATGACTCTGTTACAGTGCAACCTACTAATGTTCGAATGCCAAACAAACTTGAAATTATTTTGTGATAGCGAATTTTAAGTATCAAATATGGAAAATTTTCCAACATGAAGTATGCATACTAATTATATATACCAAAGACTATTCCATGAGGATATTGGGACCATGACGACTATGACATTTTTGGGAGCTTAGTGACTAGTCACTAGTATATAATAACATCCTGGCTGACTAGGATTATCGTCGGTGATCACTTCTAACTTCTAAGTGCTAATCGTCTCATGAGGGATGCACATACGTCACCTAAGAAAAGACGTCTGGTTTTTTGTAATGCCAGGTAGATTAATTTATATAACATGTGATATGTTAAAAAATAAGCATGTTGTTTAACACCTAAATAATAATTCAATTATCAATAACCACATTATATAATTTATAAAACATAATTTAAATAGATGGTCTCCCTAATATTATTTTTTTTATAATCTAACATTTTTTTAAGTGAGCCTATTACCAGGTACCTTTTAAGGGAGACAGTTGTTCCAATTAGGCATGCTAGCCCACCACATTTTATATAAGGGGGCTAATAAGGACACTTCAAAAAAAAAAAATCATTGTACCTTTCTTCCAATTGTATTTTCATTTTCATTTTGCAAGTGGTTCTTTACCACAGTGGTGGAAATGTGTTTTGCTCTTGCATGACCGCGTGAGTTTGAACCCCGTCAGTAGCTATTCTAACATTTAATGACACACCCTGACCTTGATATTCCTCGAATACCAGGATAGACATGTGCTGGCCGACACCCGAGGGTGACGAAAGCCATTAATTGATTATAAGAGTAATGATTAGAAGAAAATATTCATGAATAATATCAGAATTTAAGAGTAAATAACAAAGTTCAAGGAAATGTCTAGAGTGAACCAGACACAATCTAAAATAAGATTTACAAAAAGGAAAGATCATTACAAGATATCACATAAGTAGGTGATAGATTGCTACTGGTAGGGGAATGCCTCGCACGTCGAGTCGTAGTCCTCAATTCTATGACCTAAATAGGGGCGCAAAACAAAGGTGAGTGGACCAAGTTCATATATACATAATAATAAAACAATTATCAAGATATTAACCCCCACAGTTATATAATGGAAACTACTAGCATAATAAGTGATGGATTTAATAAAAATCCTAGCATACCAAAAATATCTTAAAAGCCATATTGCGGAACAACATCGCGGAAATCAAAACAATAAACGCATCGTAGATCGTCTCATAAGCGCAGTGTGTTGCTAGAAAGATCACTGAATATATATAACTCCCGATCTAATATCTGCTCCGTGGTCCCTGTGCCTGTAGCCAGAGATTACCAACTCCCAGCCCAATGCCTGCTCCATGTCCCTCAGCTCGTAGCTAGGGATTACTAACTCCCGGCCTAAATGCCAACATCAGATCCTCGCCCCAGGCGGCATAGTGTCTTCTAGGTACGCACAAATAATTATGCCTCTCATAAATAACCACTTCATACTTCATAGTATAAAGTTATCCATCGTCTATACTATAAAGAGGGGTTTCTAAAACATGTTCTAACATCCTATCGTCATCCATCAGATAGTCTACCAGATCATTATTTTTATAGAAAATAAGATATATTAAATATAGCTCAAAATAGGCTAACATTTAATTCCTCACCAAAAACACGAGACGAATTCAATAAATTCAATAAACAGGTTTTACATAAATCGATCATAAATTCGTAGGCATGCTAATCATTTATGCAATTAAATCATAAAATCATGTAATTTTAGAAAGGGTCCTTAGCAGAAGAGTTGCGCGAGTAAGGATTAAGAATTTCTCCACTAGCAACTTTACCTAAGCACAAAAATGGTAATAAATAAATAAAAAAGATTTTCTAAAAGATTGGGCTTGAACTAAATAAAATAGGGAATTGGGATTGGATGGGTTTAGGTTTTAAAGGATTTTAGGAACCTAGGGTTTTTGGGTTAAAAAGGTTTTAGGATGAAGGAATGGGATTTGGGCTTAAGCCCAAACATATACACACCACAAACACACACACGCACGGCATGCACATGCATGCATGGCATGCATATACACACACGCACACACACACTAACTCACACACACACACCACAAAGGCCGGCCCTAAGGCCTCACAAAAGGGCAGGGCTTTAAGCCCTTTAAAAGAAATCGGCCCAAGGTCCTACAAAATAAGGCCCGAGGGGGAGGGAAAGGCCGGATGGCCTGGTTGCCGAGGAAGAAGAAGGCCGGAGCTGCTACAGCTCCAGTCACCTGAAAACATGGGCTCTAAGCTCCGATTTAAGTACGAACATGAAGAACAAGGAGAGAGGAAGAGGTTGCTACCTTCCAAAAACCGTGACTCGGTTGGAAGTGACCGGAAATGCCCTTGAAATGTACGGGTTTGCCGGAAAATGGGTGTGCTTAACCCAACCAAGCTCCTGAAACACAACCAAGCATCATGCTAACAACGAGAAGGAGAGATTCGACTTACATAACGGGAAAAAGAGAGAGTTCGCCGGAGCTTTGCTCTGCGCCGTCAAGCTCACAGGGTGAAGGTCCTGGGCTCATTGCGAGCCTGCTTGATGGTGATAGGGTCCTAGTGAGTCCAGAGGGAGAGAGAGACGAGAGGTTGAGGGAGAGAGGTACGGGAGAGTTGAGAGGGACAAAGTACAGAGAGAGAGCGAGAGGAAGAAGAGATAAGTCTTGGGGGGGCCAGAAAGAGAGAAAAGGGAGAGGGTTAGATGGCTGACACGTGGCAGCTTAGGGTGAAAATAACAAATACTACAATTATTTGGGGATGGTTGTAACATTTAACTTACTAACGCTACCGTTTCACTAAAAAAAATTGTATTTTCATTTTTATTCTTTCATTTGTTTCAAGTGCACAATTACTCGTTAAACATTTCCCTTTATATAATTCTGCTTTAGAAATTATGCACCACTTCAATGCGCGGGTGTGTCATTTTTAGCCTCTTATACACTCATGTTTAATTTTGTTCATTATTTTTGTTTGATTTATTCAATTTGATGATGACCATAAATAAAGAGAAATATTTGAGAAGTTAAAAATCACCTGGATAGATCATTTTTAGCATCTTACAAATTATGCGAGTTGTATGATATCAAGTTTTTTACAATTAGGTGACCAAATGTCCGTTGTTGCACCACCATACAAATTGATATGATGAGCGGAAACCCTTGTCTAATGGCATAGCTGTTGATTGATTCACCCTCCAATAGGGTTCCTCGTTGTTTGCAAAAGGGCAAAAAAGATAGCCCCTTGATGCACATGCATCCTTTCATCATACCTTTATACACTTGCTTTTTAGCCAAAATGATACTTAAGATTTATTTAACTTCTAATTTTAGTTCTTAAGATTCGAAATCAATAGAAGTAATCCTTACGTTTGTCCACTATCAATCATTTTGGTCATTCCATAAAAAAAATCTAGATTAAGTAAGACTAAAATAACAAAAATACACTCAATTTTTGTCAAATCATTTGACCCATTGTTTATTAAATTTAAGATATTTTTGTCATTTTGGTCCTTATTTAATATAATTTTTCTTGGAATGATCAAAATGATTGATGGTGGACAAACTAAGGGACCACTTCTATTTCTTTCAAATCTCAGATACCAAAATAATGATTTATGGGAATCTCATAAACTATTTTGGCTAAAAAGCCAACATTTAATTGACTCTTATGTTCCATTCATATAGAAAGCAGCGGAGCGTTTTAATTTTGCTTCTTCAAAGCCTTTTTCTTCAAAGATTGATGGAGCACTTGCCACTCGCATAATTCTTAGCTGTGAATCAGCTCCATACATGTACTGTACCAATCTAGAGGAAGCTTGACAATTATTGAACATCCGTTGTTTTGATGGCTGAACCAATTTGGAATTTCATTGCCCTCATAGACAATGCTAACTGAAGTACCACCAGTGATATCCTGTAACAGTGATGCACATCAAAATTAGTAAACTCTTGCATAAAGTGGAAGAAGTGAAATAGACAGTGTGTGCTCGTGTGAGAGCAGAGAGACCTTATAACATTCTTCTTCCTTAAAGTTCGCTGGCGCAGTTGCAACTCGCATGATTCTTAGCTGTGCATCAGTGAATATGTTGCTCCGTGCCTTATGATCCAAGTTTCGGCAATTGGTAAAATAATAACTCCCTCGAAACAATTCATATTTTTCCCAAGCTTGTGTGAGTGAATTTCTTGAAATTGACACTGTCGTTAGTGACCTGCAGTCATTTGCTTCAACACTACGTAGTACATGGAGCTCTGGTAAAGATCGAAGGTTTCTGCAATAGTTTAACCGCAGGTGAGACAATTGACAACCTCGTTTGATGCTTGAAGGTATGCTCTCAAATTTGGTTCCTCCTAGATCTAAATCTCGTAACCAGGGTAAAAACATGAGGAGGTCGGGGATTTCTAATTTAATACAGAAACATAGGCTTATTAGTTCCGAAGAGCACAAACCGAGTGAGAGATTTAAATTGCTGAGACTCAGGCAGCCAGCAAAGCTCAACGTCTTAAGATGTTTTGAACTGTATATGCTGTCTGGGACAAACTCAAGGTTTTCGCACCTATCGAGAATTAAACTTTGAAGCCCAATTAGCATTTTTATCGATGAATGTAGCTCTTTAACCGCTGTTCCTTGTAAACTAAGAAATTTCAGATGTTCCATAGGCTCCAAAATTTCTGGGAAGTATTCGAATTCAAGGCAATCAGTGAGGTCAAGTCTCTCAAGAGATTTTAACTTACAAATGCTCTTTGGTAGACTCACTTGCAATAACTCAGTTTAATTGTAGTGAGACCAAGGAGACACTGAATCGCCGATGTGGGCAATTCCTTTATTGTGGTGAAAGATAAATCTAAGAATTCAATGTTGTCAGGCATCTGAGGAAAAGATTTTAGATTTTCAGAGTGTCCCAGATGAAGATAAGTAAGCTTGTCAAAATCTTTGAAATATGATGGAATCCGTGTCAATCTTATGCAACCAGAAAAATTTATATGCTCAATTTTTGAAGTGCGAGAGAGATCTGGAACCTCAGCCAGATGTGTGCAATAACTAAGATCGATCACTTTCAAGTTTCCAAGATTCTGTAACAAATTAAAGAGAAATTTATTAACTTGGCCGAAATAAATTTCCACATCCACCATATTTCATACAAGGTTAACTCAAGTAAGTACATGTACCTGGTTTTTATTCCAAAGTGGCACCTCAAGTCTGCTATAGGGCATTCGAAGCTCAACAAGATTGTTTGGAGAAAACTTTGATGGAAGAGATTTCAAAGGGTATCGGTCCCAGCAAAGATACCTGAGAGCATTGGGCAGAGATTCAAGACCTTGAGAAAGGTCAATCTTGTAGTACACCTCGCCAAAGGTAGCATCATGAAAACCTATAAATTTGGGAAAATCCTCAGAACCATGAATCTTTAGCAATCTCAGATTATACATCTCTTTGAAGGTTGAACTGGAGAGTTGTAGCCTTATAATGCAAGACGTAATGGTGCTCCTTACATGTACTGTACCTACGAAAATCAATGTAACTGAGAATTATACGTTCTTGTTAATTTGTAACAAAAATGAATAGAAAATATCTTACAATTTATGCTCGTCTTGCACTCACCTCTTCATCATTTCTTAAGTTGTCTCCACCACAATACTTATGAATACGCAATTGAACCAATCAATCGTATCCATAAAATTGAGCTACCAGTCAGACACATAACTTCTGCTCAAAATCATTTTTTTAATTTTTTTGACAAACAACAATACTTGGTATTTCATTAATCAACCGAGAACAATGCATAGGTGCTAATTGGGTACAATCCTCTAGTGACCAAGCAAATGATCTAGAGGTTAATTTACGCAAATGAGACAATAATAGTAAACCCCAAAGCAGCTATCACATGTACGAGAACTTCCCACAACACCCATACAAGCCTGTTACAGAAACAATACATAACAAATTTGTATAGATGATTGCAAACAGTTGCCGCCAAATAGCGTGGCCGCATAAAATCATCGCAGGAGCAAGACCACGTAACGTCATCATTGGAAGACGAGACCACATAATCCAATGCTCAAGGCGAAAATCAAATACAACCGTCGTTACGGCGCAAAACGGACACCATCCAATGGAAGGATAGGACCCTCAGGTAAGGACCACAGCAGTGCCATCACACAAGACAGGCAGCTTGCGAATTTGATACGCCCAAAATTTTTTTGGGTAAGTTTTATTTTGGGTAAAAGACTGTTTACTACCTTATGTTTCGTGGTTTTCAACATTTAGTATATCAAGTTTTTTTTGTCTCAGATTCAAACCTAAAGTGTAAATTTTGGGACAATCTCATACATCCTTTAGTCAAACTGTTAAATCTGCCATTAATTGTGACGTGGCGCTCATGTGGACAATAACTGGGCGCCACGTATCATCCGCGTTTTTTTTTTCTTTCTTCTTCTTCTTCTTCATCTTCTTCCTTCTTCTTCTTCTTCTTCTTCCTCCTCCGACTGCAACTTCTTTTTCCCCCTTCTCCTTCTTCCTTCTTCTTCCTTCTCCTTCTCCTTCTTCTTCTTGTTCCTCCGAATCTAGGGAAGTTTTTTTTTTTTTTTTTTTCTTCTTCCTCCTTCCTCCTTCTTCCTTCTCCTTCCTTCTCCTTCTTCTTCTTCTGAATCTGGGTTGCAGATTCGTTTTTTTTTTCTTTTTTCTTTTTTCTTCTTCTTCCTCCTTCTTCTTCCTCCGACTTGTCTTTGTATATCTAAATACAAACACAAAAAAGTGCATATTCACATTTTTAGAGGTTTAATAACAAATCTCATAAATTACAAATATTATTTTATTTAAACTTTTTCTCCGGCAAATATTCAAACTTTTAAATTAAACAAATATTTATCAAACTTATTAAATTAAGCAAGTATTCAAACTTCCATGACTATTTTAAGAATATAGAACCACATTCATTACTAACTATACATGAACGTTCACACATAATTAAAAGATTTTATTGCTACCCGTGAAATTCACCAGTATTTTTATAACTTATGAATACGCAATTGAACCAATCAACCGTATCCATAAAATTGAGCACATAACTTCTGCTCAAAATCATTTTTTTTTAATTTTTTTGACAAACAACAATACTTGGTATTTCATTAATCAACCGAGAACAATACATAGGTGCTAATTGGGTACAATCCTCTAGTGACCAAGCAAATGATCTAGAGATTAATTTACGCAAATGAGACAACAATAGTAAACCCCTAAGCAGCTATCACATGTACGAGAACTTCCCACAACACCTATACAAGCCTGTTACAGAAACAATACATAACAAATTTGTATAGATGATTGCAAACAGTTGCCGCCAAATAGCGTGGCCGCATAAAATCATCGCAGGAGCAAGACCACGTAACGTCATCATTGGAAGACGAGACCACATAATCCAACGCTCAAGGCGAAAACCGAATACAGCCGTCGTTGCGGCGCAAAACGGACACCATCCAATGGAAGGATAGGACCCTCAGGTAAGGAGCACAGCAGTGCCATCGCACAAGACAGGTGCGGCTACCACATCCACAAATCCAGCGGAGCAGCAACAATAAACTGCAGGCGACAGAGGTTCCAGAAGCGACCACCGACAAGAAGTCCAAACAGAGCCACCGTCGGATTTGCACACCCAAACCAAAGAAGCACCACCAAAGAGGCATTGCGCTCTAATCCGAGCTTGGATTTCAACAAGTCCACAACACCAAATCAGAGTGACGAAACGTGACTCCACACCAGCAGCTGCAATTCCAAGCCCAGATCACGCACCATATCCCGAGGCAGGGAAGAGGCCTTGAGCAAGGCATAACCCGGATATGGGGGAGGCGTGAAGCTAAGTCAAAACGGTGGGAGAGAAGACCCATCCGCATCCGCATCCGCAGACCCACCGCAACACCCAGAGTACAGACGCCATAACAAAGAAAATCTTGAGATGGCAAGATCAGGATTTGAAGGTTGGGGGAAAGACACGGGAGGGGAGAGGAAGGTGGTTGGGGAAGATGGCTTAAAGAAACAGAGGACATTTCGAAATTAGTTTCTCGGCATCTTGAGCATACAACAGGCAGATTCCACACGTTTTGAAATTAGTTTTGTGACTTCTGTCACGATGGTCTAGGAAGTGGAAGTCAAAAGAGGCCTTGGTGACGAGTTTGTAAAAAGAATTGGAGCATCTGAAATTCTCTATCTCTTCAATTGCAAAAGCACCATACCAGACAAACACGTGACTGGACCTAGAAATGTCGTACCCTCTTTCGTTAAACGGAACATAGTAAGGGTAACTGATTTCACGGCTTTCACCATTATCAGTTCTAAAATTGCACTTGCACCCAAACTTCACATTTGCAACACCAAAATTTTGATCGACAACAAGAGATAGAGCGAAACCCAAGAAATTCGTACCACACCAATCTGGAGGAAGCTTGATGGTTAACGAAGATCCCTCACTTTGATGGCTGAACCAATTTGGAAGTTCATTTCCCTCGTACACAATGCTAACTGAAGTCCCACTAGAGATACCCTGAGATCGTGATGCACATCAAAATCATTAAACTCGTGAATAAAATGGCAGAAGTGAAATAGACAGTGTGTGCGCGTGTGAGAGAGAAAGAGAGACCTTATAACGTTCTACTTCCTTGAAGTTGGATGGCGCAGTTGCAACTTGCATAATTCTTAGGTGTGCGTCACTGACTATGTTGCTCAGTGCCTTATCATCCAGTTTCGGGCATTTAGCAAAATGATAACTCCCTCGAAACAAATCATATTTATCCCAGGCTTGTGTGAGTGAAGTCCTTGATCTTGAAACTGTCTGCAGTGACTCGCAGCCATTTGCTTCAAGATACCGCAGCACTGGGAGCTCTGGTAAAGATCGAAGGCTCGTGCAATTGTTTAAGCGCAGGTGAGACAACTGAGAAGCTTGTATGACGCTTGAAGGTAGGCTCTCAATATTGGTTCCTCCCAGATCTAAATCTCGTAACCAGGGTAAGAACACGAGGTGGTTGGGAATTTCACAGAAACATAGCCTTATTACTTCCAAAGAGCACAAACTGAGTGAGAGATTTAAATTTTTGAGACTCAAGCAACCAATAAGGCTCAACGTTTTAAGATGTTTTAAACTGTTGATGCTGTCTGGGACAAGCTGAAGGTTTTCGCACCGGTCAAGAATTAAACTTTGAAGCCCAATTAGCATTCCTATCGATGAATGTAGCTCTTCAACCTCTGTTCCTTTTAAACTAAGAAATTTCAGATGTTCCATAGGCTCCAAAATTTCAGGGAAGTATTTAAATTCAAGGCAATCAGTGAGATCAAGTCTCTCAAGAGATTTTAACTTACAAATGCTCTCTGGTAGACTCACCAGCCTACTGCAATAACTCAGTTTGAGTGTAGTGAGACCAAGGAGACACTGAATTGACGATGCGGGCAATTCCTCTATTGCGGTGAAAGATAAATCTAAGAATTCAATGTTGTCGGGCATCTGAGGAAAGAATTTCAGATTTTCACAGTGTCCCAGATGAAGATAAGTAAGCTTGTCAAAACCTTTGAAATATGAAGGAATCCGTTCCAATCTTATGCAACCAGAAAGATTTATATGCTCAATTTTTGAACTCCGAGAGAGATCTGGAACTTCAGCCAGATGTGTGCAATAGCTAAGATCGATCACTTTCAACTTTCCAAGATTCTGTAACAAATTAAAAGGAAATTTATAAACTTGGCCGAAATAAATTTCCACATCCACCACATTTCATACAAGTTTAACTCAAGTAAAGCATGTGTACCTGGTTCTTATTCCAAAGTGGCGCCTCAAGTCTGCTATAGGGCATTCGAAGCTCAACAAGATTGTTTGGAGAAAATTTTGATGGAAGAGATTTCAAAGGGTATCGGTCCCAGTAAAGATACCAGAGAGCATTGGGCAGAGACTCAAGACCTTCAGAAAGGTCAATCTTGTAGTACACCTCGCCAAAGATAGCATCATGAAAACCTATAAATTTGGGAAAATCCTCAGAACCATAGATCTTGAGAATTCTTAGACTACGCATCTCTTGGAAGGATGATCCCGAAAGTTGTAGCCTTGTAAGACTAGACGTGTCAACGTATATGCATTTAACCTTTGCAGTTCCCTGAAAATCAAGAGCAAAGTATAAAATGATACATAATATATACAACAAAGTTTACTCAAAACTACTTTACATCTGACCGGCTTATCAAATATGAGTTTCCTGTGTTTTTTCACAGACAAGTCATGTTCTTTATTTTTGGTTCAACAAAGTTTTAGGATCTTACTGTATTATTCTCCAGAACCTGACAGACATCCTCTGGAGCCCACAACCTATTACGTTTTCCGGGCTCATCCGTACATTGTTCGCCAACAATTTTCTGACCCATTTCCTGAAGCAAATCATGCATCTCCAAGCAATTCGTCATTGAAATTGATAGTAGAGACTTATCAATGAGAACTTGAATTCCGTTCTCAAAGAAACCTCGAAGCTGTATCATTCTCTTTGCAGAATCAACATCCATCCCTTTAAGAAAGCATGCGATATCAAGGAAGCATTCCTTCTCATTTTCTTCTAATCCATTATAACTAAGTCTCAACACATTCTGTACTTTTTCGCTAGGAAACTTTTTCAATTTTCTCAACTCTTCATCCCAGTCTTCTTCTGTTTTGCAGTGAAGGAACAAAGCACCCAAAGTTTTAAGAGCCAATGGAACGCCTTTAATATAATCTATCACCTTTCTTGAAAACTCTGTATATTCTGTCGTAGGAGACTTATTCTTGAAAGCATGCATTTGAAAGAGCTGAAGGGCTTCGTCATTTTTTAATCCCTTGACCTCATAAATTTTGTCCTCACCAACCATTTCATTCAGTAGTCTCCTATCTCTAGTTGTTACAATGATTCTGCTTTTGGGACCAAACCGAACATCATCTCCGACTAGAAGTTCTAATTGTTCTGAATCATTCACATCATCAAGAACAATGAGGACCCTTGTACGGCTGAGCCTTTCGCGGACAAGCTTAGATCCTATAGATGGAGTGCCAATAGTCAGATCTTTCTCGTTTAATATCTCACGAAGAAGTATATTCTGCAAGTTCTTTGGCCCTTGTTTTCTTGACTCCTCCCTAACATTTGCGAGAAAACAAGAAGCTTCGAATTTAGAAGTGAGTCGGTTAAATACAGCACCAGCAAGGGTAGTCTTGCCAATACCTCCCATTCCCCATATACCTACAGTGCAAATATCAGGTGAATCAATGCATAACAACGACTCAATTTCCTCGATTTTGGTTTCAATTCCAACGAGGCCCTTAGAATCACTTGACTGTTTGCAATTCAATTTGGTCAATATAACTTGGACAACTTTCTCAACGAAATCGGCCTCTGTCCTGAAAAATATGATTTTGAAGGTCAAAAAATAGATACTAATTAAATATGTCTTAATGAGGTGCAAAGAGGTTCAAAAATTATGCAAGAGGTGCAAAGTTAGTTACCCGGCTTTGTTTGAATTATCAAAACCAGATAGGTTGGCAGCTTTCTCCAAAGCATCCCTCCACTCAAGCACCTTGTCCATACAGTCCTTGAAACGTTCTTCAAGTTGAGCAAATGCAACTGCATAACTCCCCTGCTGTTTTCTTACATCTGCTGGACTGATGTCGTAAAAAATGGGTATAACAAACTGTCCATCCCCTTCCTTGCATCCTAGTATATGCAGGAGTTCACCCAAACACCATGTGGAAGAAGCATAGTTTTTTGAGAAAATGATCACCGAAAGCTTTGACTTCCCAATAGCTTCTACAAGGGCAGGTCTGATTTCATCCCCTCTCTCCAGTTTGTAATCTATGTAGATGTCAAGTTTCTTTCGAAGTAAAGCAGCATGAAGGTGGCTGGTGAAGGTGTCGCGGGTGTCCTCACCTCTGAAACTAAGGAACACATCATGCTTTCTTCGAGGTGAGATAGCACCAGCAGCAGCAGAAGATGAAGACGCCATATTAATTACCTGCAAACCAAACTGTATCTCTCATAACCTGCAAACACACCCATATATAGATACATACATACACACACACACACACACACAGAGACACAGACACAGATATGCGCATATCGGCGGGGGGAGCCAGGAAAGTATAGCAAAGGGGTACCTCATGTGGACAAGATGATAATATATGTGTTTTAAGATATACTGGTTACAAATCCATATACAAATAATACAGCACAAAAAAGAGAGGGAGAGAGAACTGAAGGAGTTCAAGCTTCCGTTCTCCATTAAAAGGGTCATGAAAATTCAATCCACGCCTTCTAGTCAGAGGTAACCACACATCCACTTTCTGCTTACGATATACACAAACCAAATTCAGTTTGCATATACATAACAGATCAAGAAACTCCTCCAATATGCAGAATTTCCAAAAGCTTTTATTGGTAATAGTAAGTGGTAACCATACACCACAAAATCCATGAAAAACAATTCTAATACAAAGCAACAAGTTCAAATTCATGAGGGTTTAATTACTGAACAACTTACCGATGGTATGTATCTTCCGGATTCGTTTAGATAACAAAAAAAATTATTCTGGTTTTTGTTTCGTAAAGGATTTCATGTAGTTTTATACGTATACTACCAGGAAATAGACTAAAAATTGAGGTAAGTCCTTATGATTCAACCAAAGGGTGTATAATTTAGAGACTCCAAAGAAAAGACTTGAATGATTAGGCGGTGTTTTCAATTTCAACATTCTTTCGTGAGGATACAATTCGAAATTTAAAATTTCAAAGTAATCGCTAGTCTAATACTCAAATCAAATTTCATTCAAATTTCTGAAAATAAAATAACTTCTAACATCAATTATTATACCCTAAACTCCAATTCAAAAACAGAGAAAACAAACAAGGATTCGAAGAAATGCACTAAATTACATTTAAATTTCAATTCGAAATTTATCTAGTTATAGATATGCAAGTCAGTGGTTTACCTTTGAATAAAGAAAGTATTTGCACGCACAGAGATTAATTGCCTTTTGATGATCATGTGCTACTTAATTAGTAGTTGATTCATTTTATGCACAAAGTCGATGCTCCTGTGTAACGAAAGTCAACTTTATAATCAGTTTAATTAGTTTAATGAGATGGAAGTTGTGTGCTAGCTGTCTTCTGTGTCGCTACATGCCGGTCTCCATTATACATTATGCATGCTACATAAACTTTTCTATATTATATTGCAATTTGCAACGATCCAAATAATTAGGCCATTTTTAACCGCTTGTTTTAGCCTTGTGGTTTTTCAAAAAATTAATATTTTAATAACAGTGCATGATCATATTCATTATCATCTCCAACCGAGGGTCAAATGATCATATAGCTCATTTTAGCCCTGTCACAAAAAACCGTCTCCAACTGAGGGCCAAAGGGCTATAGTTTGGAATGTGAAGAATTGAAATAAAATGAGGTAAGATAATATGGAATAGTCTTTAGATTTCATGGGGTCCATGAGACCTCTAGCCTAACACTCGGTTGGAGACGATTTTCGAACGTTTTTCGGCCCTCTGGCTCTCTGGACCCTTCGGTTGGAGATGGCCTTAACTCACTTTTTGTCATTAAAAATTGTGGGTTATATCCCATGCATGTGTCGACTAGACTAGACGATTTCATTAATTGTTTATGTATTATTCATAAGGACTTGATGCAACATCTACTTGAGTATTTATATACTCAAGGGAAAAGTTGTAGTTTTAATTTAATTAGGATTGTGGTTGTGTACATCTTAATAGATTGTGTTAGAATTATGTTCAAGATCTTTCCTATTGAACCTTGTATTACTTGTAGCAGTGCCGGCCCTGAGGGGTGCAAGTGGTGCCACCGTACAGGGCCCCCAAATCAGAAGGGCCCCCGATTTTTCAAATTTACATGCATTTTCGTATATATAGTAGCATGTGTAGAATATTACAAACTTGAGTCTTAGTGTAAGTGGTTTTATTGCTTCTTTATAGCGGCCTAGGGAATGGGTTCAAAACTCGCCTCCATCATTTTTTTAGTTTATTTTTATTAAATGCATAAGTTTCCACAAAATAATATAAAAATTCCACACATTAATATGAAAATTCGAACCCTGACCCTCTAAATAGTTAAGGAAAAACAATAGGCCACTTTTCCACTTATTGATTTGTTAAATTTGTTTGTGCTATTAGAATTTATAGAAACTCAATTGAAAACTGTTTGTACCATACTTAAGGCCTCCATATTTAGACCTCATATAAATACTCGGGGGACTCAAATGTAATTATGTAATAAATGTAGGGGAAAATATGCAATAAGTGAAGAGCCCTTATTCTATAAAAGAACTCCTCACTCACCTCATGGGGAGAGGCCAATTTTTAGGCCTGAGATCTCCAAAGCCTTTCAGCCTCTCAAAGCCTCTCTCATATTCATTACAGAGGCTCTCTCCTTCACAATCCTCTCAGAGAAATACAATATCAGTGTGGACATAGCTCAAACATTGGGGTGAACCATGATACATCTTGTGTTATTTACATTTCTTGCAGAGTCACTATCGAATTTATGTTGTTCCAAGACCCCTCCGGTTTTGTGCATCAACATTTGGCGCCGTCTGTGGGAATCGACACAAAAAACTATGTCGGTTCTTTTTCATTGTTTCACCTCCGCTGTGGATCTGCAAAATCTGCAAAAAACCCAAGAACCCAAAGCTTTCCCAGGAAACCGCACCCTTTCGTCTCTCTCTCTGCAAAATCCTCCAACAGTCTAAATTGCTGACAGAACTTTAACTTCAAGATAATTCCCATCAACCCAACAAACACTCCCACCACCTTTATCTCTCTCTGGAGAAAATTCACAGCTCAAATTGTCCATCAACCTTACTTGCCGCAAATAATGGCAGTTCCTAGCTAGACAACCTCCTCTGAGCTCTCTCAGCTTCGCCGAGCTAGCCATGACCAGTACTAAACTCGTGGTGGAAGTTCACGACGCAAGCGGCCTGATGCCCAAAGACGGCGACGGGTTTACGAGTCCCTTCATTGAGGTCGACTTCGAGGGGCAGCGGCAACGGATTCAGACCAAGCCTAAAGACTTTAATCCTTGCTGGAACGAGAAACTCGTCTTCAATGTAGATGACCCATCCCACCTCTACCAAAAAAAAAACACGAGAAAGTTCCAGATCAGAATAAGAGCTCCGTGGAAACAATCTACTCTGAGATCTGACTCGCTGGACTGTCCACGCCGCAGATCTAGAGACTACGACGTCGACGGTAGGGAGCGACTCCATCGTTGGAATAGTTGACAAGTATGCAGTCGAACCAGCTATACGCCAAGTGGGTTACCTAACTTATTGCAAAAGCAACCTTGAGAATCTACAGACTCAAGTGAACAACTTAAATGACGCTAGAGAACAGCTACGGCTCAAGGTTGTTGAAGCCATAGGGCTTGGTTTCGAGGAGATAAAGTTGATGAAGATGAGGGTCTTGTGTTCTTATTGAGGAGCTCACGGTCGGATTTATGATGAAGATGAGGCTTCATCGAGGATTGAGACGTTCATTTGGTGAAAGACAAGGCCAATAGAGAATATGAGGAAGACGAGGACAGTAGAGTGCTCAGTTGCTAGCCAACCCACTCCAGCTACAAAACAGAGAGGATGAGCAGCTGCAGACCCACGCCTGCCAATTTGAGAATAGCTTCCTGTAGCAACCCACTTGGTTGAAGCTTCACCCACTCCTCAAGTTTTGCTTTAATTGATTCGTAGACCTAAGCTTCGGCTACCACTACACCTCTCCATTTTTTTCAACTCTAATTGACCACGTGGGGGAAGGAAATCTCAGAATTAGCATCGCTGCAACCCTAATTGAACCTACGATCCAATGATGCAGGTTTGGATGGTGAAAAAGGTGCAAATACCCCAAATGATGGCCAGCAAGATCAGCATGCATCAGCCAAAACTGTTCATACTGATTAGCATGCATCATCATGCAATAATTTCCAACCCTGACGGTTTCGAGGAGACCAGCTCTCTCTCGCTCTCTCTCTCTCTCCCTCTCTAAAAATCCACGTCCTCTCTCTCTTGTTCTTCTCTATCTTGAGCGAGTAGCATGCATCAGCCAAACGACGATCACATGATCGAGATAGTGTCTGCCGAGTCGACCACTTGCAGTGAAAGATAGCCTCAACAAGTTCTTCGCCAACGTAGAGTCCGCTAACTACATGCTCAACAAGCTCAAGGGCTCCAAGTCAACCTTGAAGTCTCTCATGAGCAGGGAAGATGATGCTCAGCAGGCCAAGGAAGACACTCTGATGAATATCATCATTATCATCAGAGAGAGCAACTGCATGTGCATGATCACGACACTGCAGCATATAATATTAATGGGATGCATGGTGGGGTGGTGTAGTCCACAACCATGATGATGACGGGCCAACAAGTTAGTTCATTCAAATTCAAATCTGGCAGCAGCTGCTACTCCCAGTCTCTCAAAAACCATCCAAGCCAACGAACACTACCAATAGAAGGCAAACACAAGGAATAAAGGGAGGAAAAGAATAGAAAAAAGGAAAAGGAAAAGATGCTTTTACAAATGGTATCGTTTTGCTTTTTACAAATAAGAAGTGGATGAGCTAGCTACTTTCCAAAGTGGAAAGGAACATCGTCACCAAGTGGAAGCTAGATCTCTGCGTAGAGACAGAGACAGAGACAGAGGCGCGGTGGAAAGTGAAAAAGAAAAAAAAAAGCTACATGTCATTATGTCTACAGGTGAAAAGAAAAAACATGCATATGTCCCTCAAACAGCTCAACCACTCCCGCAAAAGCAAAAGCAAAGCAGAAAGCAAAAAAAGATAAAAAGAAGCAGACATAATTGAGGTGGTGATGGCATGTAAAGAATGGAATTATGGGCGTGACCCATTGAGCAGACGGTCGGATTTATTTTTGAATGATGTAATTTATTTTTCTTATCTTTCAGAGACATCTATATAACTCAATCAAAGGGTAATAAAAAAAAAAAAAAGGCAAGCCCAAAATAATGGGCTGGAATGTTATGTGGAGGGCGAAGGCCCATATGCCCAAAAGAGCCAGGCCATATGGCTCCAAATTTATTTGGCACCCTGCCACTATTATCACCAACCAGGTGATCAAAAGTACGCCCAGTACTCCAAAATTAATCGGCACCCTGCCACTATTATTACCAACTAGGTGATCAAAAGTACGCCCAGTACTCCAAAAATTATTCGGCAGCCTGCCGCTATTATCACCTACTAGATGATCAAAAGTACGTTCAGTACTCCAAAATTATATATGAGCATCACTCATGTCAATTATACATAAACATTCATGAGCATCACACATGTCAATCATACATAAACATTCATGAGCATCACTCATTTCAATTATATATAAATATTCATGACCATCATTCATGTCAACATTCATGAGCATCACTCATGTCAAATCAACATAAACATTCATGAGAGCTTGAAAAGCTTCATTTACAGAGCTCCAGCTTTGAGAGCTCCAACTTCAAAAGCTTCATTTACAAAGTTCCAGCTTCAAAAGCTTCACCTACAAAGCTTCAGTGCAGGGTATAAAAATACCGCCTCCGAACAACCGCCACTTAGGCCCATACATGGATTCAATTTGAAGTATCCAGCCAACAGACTCTATTAACCGAAGACTTAGGGGACTACATTATGTACCATTTATTGAGCCTCAACTGGCCTCATGAAAAATACTTAGGGGACTTAGCCCATTATTTATGTATTGAGGAGCAAGCCCTTACTCTATAAAAGGGATGCCCTCACTTTCATTAGAGAGCACCCATTATTTATGTATTGAGGAGCGAGCCCTTATTCTATAAAAGGGACTCCTCACTTTCATTAGAGAGCACCCATTATTCATGTACTGAGGAGCGATCCCTTATTTTATAAAAGGGACTCATTCACCATCATTAGAGAGCATCGCCGCCTATT